GATAGTTTTTAATTTCATTTTGTATTAAAATCCCCTTGTAATTGCTGTCATTCTCTTTATGTTTTTCCCCTAATTATTCTGACTAGAGTAAACTCTCAATTATTCAGGGACTGTATAATCTGTAGATCTTCCAAATCCTCTCTTTTTAATTGTCTTTTACTGTACATTCTTAACCATTTAAATGTCTCCTATTCTTATAATCAACCAAATAATAAATGGTAGTAGAGTGAGAAGCTCATATTAAAATAAGCAGTTTTTTTATTTTTATAAAAACTCCTGGTAAAAAGTATGATTCCAGTGAATGCATAAAATGAAAATTTTAATCATTTGTGGGTCTTAATCCATTCTCCACAATCATTTATAATTTAAAGTTAGAATTCTACACTTTGTTCTTAAATATGATAATTTTACCAAGAGCAAAGCTGCAAGAGTTTTTTGTTTTTGGAGTTGTTTTTTTGTTTGTTTGTTTGTTTGTTTTTAAAAGTCTAATGCCATCCCATTCCCTACCACCCATTACTAAACTGCACATAGCTTGAGATAATGGAGGTTAGAGGCTTTGTTCACAAATTTGAAGGATTAAGGAGTTCATAAATAGAACAGTCCTTGAATCAGTTTAGAAATTAAGCTGAAATGAGAGGTTAAGGACAAATACCAAAATAAGCAATAGTTTGTAACCAATCAAAATACTCTCAGTTATGTTCTGAGCCCATTACTTCAGAAAAAGTTTTACCTTAAGGATATGGTGATGTGGGCAAAATGTATATATGGGGATCTTAATCTTCACTTATGTTTTCTCTCACTAACTTCGTCTCTTTGACACCAAGATATTTTTATGCTGCCCCTGGACTCTGGAGAAACACCCCCTGTCCCCAGTCCCATTATCTGACCATCAATAATTGAACACTCAACTATTTTCCTTTCACTCTACACACATCAGGATTTCTATTCCCCTTTCCTGTTGATCTTTTCCGGTGACCAAAATAACACAATAAATAGATTCATACTGAAGGATGGTTATGGCCACCTGTAAACCTCCCCATCTCCATTCCATTCTCCTTTTAAGAAAATTTGCATTAAAAAGAAAAGATTTGTGAACCCAATGGAGCTTTGAATTCCTTTAATTTCTGAAAGTTGAACAAAGGACAGAATGTTCTGCTGCCATGCATGTTTCTGTAAATGAATAAACTCAAATGGTATTGATAAGTAGAAAAACAATGTCAGAACATAATGTGGATATTGGTTGGTTTATTCATACTACCAGGCAACAACCACTGAACGGAAAGGACACCGACACACTTGAACACAGCTAGTCAAAAAGGAATGTATCACACCCTATGTTCTTCCTCTTGGCACAGTTTGGCCACATGCTCTAGGTCTGGAAATGTTTATTAAACCTCCACTCCATTTTTGTGCATTTTGCTTTGTCTCAGGAACTCTTCCTTTTGCTCTTCCATCAGGCTGTCTTATTACTGCAGTGTGTATTAGGATTAACATCTTTTTTTAACTGCTGTTATTTTTATTGGTATTCTTAGCACTCCTGGTTACAAAGTTTTGATTGTCCACCCAACCAATTTTCTCTAAGTTACTTTTAGTGCACAATTTTGCAGAATGTGATGTGATTTTCACAAATACGTACATCATGTGATTGCAAGAACACCTGTTAAGCACTTTAAAAAGTATGGGGAGGATTTACTTCCACCCCACCTTCCTTTTCGTGCAGGGGGCAGCCTGGAGAAAGAAGGAATGTTTTCTTTCCTTACGGCTCTCTGTATTCTAAAATGTCTGTTATAAGTGATTTTTATTTTTTCAAAAAGATTTTATATATTTGAGAGAGAGAGAGAGCACAAGCAGGAGGAGGGGCAGAGGGAGAGGGAGAAGCAGGCTCCTCCAGGAGCAGGGAGGAGCAGGGAGCCCGACGTGGGACTCTTGATCCCAGGACCCTGGGGTCATGGCCTGAGCTGAGGGCAGATGCTTAACCTACTAAGCCACCCAGGCACCCCATATAAGTGATTGTTTTTAAGAGTTAAAAAGGTAGCTACTTGATCAACTTAAGTCTTCATCAGTCTTTATTCCAAGTCATTACTAGAAATAACGATGAATGTAATCATCAAAGCTCCCAAAGAAGCACAATTCCAATGTTACTGGTCATGTCTTTTTATTAAAATTTTGTCTTTAGTAAGGTCCAGATTTTTTGTTTCAAATGTCTTATCCTACAAGCATATATAATAATTTTGAGAAATAGTCTCATTAATCATCGTCCTCCTTACCATCACATTTTTCTCTGAGGATCTCTTAATCTATGTGACGACAAGTAACACTTTTGCACTTGAGAGGAATTTTAAGGTTAGAGCCGACAGAAGGGCTGGCTTCTCATCCTTGCTCCAGCAGAGGTGAGATTTAGTTGGATGATGTCTTTCCAGGTTAAAGAATGTGTGCAAATTACTGATGTAGGTAATTTTATTCCCCTACTGTATCCAAGTTGAGGGTAGCATTTGCTTATTTATCATAGAACTTAATTGTTAGATGGTTGGTGTTTATTAAATCATTAAATGAGTGAACACTTATTTCATTGGATGCCAGTACCTATAGCCAGAGCTCGATTTTTCTTTGCCAATGCAGTGAGCATTGTTTCTTGGGGGCCTCAGAAGGAACGCCACACTTAGCCATTAGGGAAATGGGTACATGGTATATTTTATGAATACCTAATAATGTCAACCTTTAGATCCTATATACTGAAGGTGGCTCTTTGAGGCCTACAAGATAGATCTCCAATGGAACTTTTTTAAACTAAGAAGTTGTTTGGGGATAGGAATTAAGATACGTGTGTTCAACTGTCAAGAATTAGTTATACAACCTTAGGGAAATCCTTCAGTATCTGTGTCTTTTTCCTAGTATATAAAGTGAAGGTAATCACCTGCCCTCTCTAACACCTACAGCATCCCACGTAGCCCATTATCGTTGACGTATTTTCCTTTTTGGTTTATCCTATGAACATACCTACTTGGAAGCAAAACTATGTTTTATTGGTTTGTATACCTAAGTGCTTATCACAATGACTGTTATCTGGTATACTCAATAAAATGTCCACTGGTCCAGTGAATTAAGTAAATATTTGGTAAGTTTCACAGTGCTAAATAAATGTAAGCTGTCTGAAGAGAGCAGGTAGAACTTCATCATGTTTTTCCCTCCTTAGGGCTGACAGTTCTTCCTGTGGTCCAAATGACCCTAGGCAATCAGTACCAGCTCACACAGAGACTGCACAGTGCCTGGATATTGGAGCATGTCACGCTTTCATCCTTCTGGAAGTGTTGTCACTCCAAAGGGCTTGGATCATCTGGTGTCCAGTCATATACACAGCCACGCTGATACTGCCAAACAAACCTGTAAGAAAATCAAAATGTTGAATATTTATTCTGTAGCACATTTTATACGTGGCCAAATGTTGCAGGTTTGCAAAGTAGTTTTCTGTAGTTACAACAGCTAGGAATCACTGAGATTTTATTTTGTACCAGGCACTATGTGCTTGCATGTATTAACTACATTCCCTGCATTACATGTATCACATATGATTGTTCTCTTTGCATGAGAGCCCTGGAGAAAAACAGAGGTTAAGTATTTTGCCCAAGGTCACACGGTTATCCTGGGGAGCCTAGGTTCCAGCAGGATCTGTCTGACTCAAGTCCTAGCTTTTGGCCATATGCTATGCTGCCTCTTGACCAATTGCTTTAGCAGCTATATTTTTATAATTCATTTTTCTTTTGGGAAACAGTAACAACAATATTAAAGCTTACTTTGCCTAAATATGAAATACTTTTTGCTTCTACAGTTACTCTAAGTTTTAACTGGTGCTGTCTTTACATGCTAATACTGGTGACGAGAACTCTATAATACACGCATATTTATAAAAGATATATTTTAAAAAAAAATGGAATTCAGGGGAATGCTTTTGTCTGCTTATACAGCAAAGGGATTCTTTTAGGAAGTTAAAAAAATATCAGAAATCTACCCAAAACCATACACTAAAATTCTAAATAAATGTTCATCTTATAATATATAGTTGACCCTAAAAAAAAAGGACCTATTTTATACCTCTAGCTTAAATCAGGCCTACCTTGCTATGACTGCATCATTTCCATAGACTGTTGACTATCAAAATGGTGACAACTATCGCTGTTATTGCTTGGATCTTGTAAAATCATTGATTTTGTATGTTTCCCTTTGTAATGGAAGATCTCGTGTTAATATCAAATTTTAGCAAATTGGTTATAATACTTTGGTACTTTAATATGCGATGAATAAAGGAGAAAACTCAGTTACAATAAACAAAACTATGTTGATCACTTCAAAGACCACTTTTTCACACCTGCTATTAGCATACAAAAGCTACCAGTATGAAAAAACATACATTAAGCATAAATTACCCTGAAGCTATATCCTGAAGCGGTTGTAACACTTTTCTTAAGAACTGACAATATTAAAAAGGCAAAAGCATTATAAGTCACAGTACACAAGACTTCTTACTTCATCTATAAAAATAGAATGCCAATGTTTTATTTGCCACAGGAATAAGGAGGGAAACATCCGTAAAATAAATTTGATAACATGACTCACACTTCATTACAAATGATTTTCTGAAATTCACAACTTTTAACATTTGGCTGGAGCTAAAAAGAAGAAAAAAAACCCAACAACGCTAAAAAAGGAAATTTCACTTGATGGAAGTAGGCCAGATCACCTGATCTCTTTAAATGAGAGTTAAAATGAGTGCACTTCTCTAACTGGGAAAATTATTTTCTTTAATTTAGAGAGCCTAAACAGTTTACCCGATATAATGAACCAACCCTTAGATTAGGTTCAGAAAACCTTCTATCAGCTGGTTTAATAAAAATCACACAAAACTCTATTATGTAACATACATGAAAGTTTCTTGGTTAAATCTTAATAATAATAATAAAAAAAAGCCATACTACTACTTCACTGTCTTTCAGATCTTTTTCTCCTAAATGTACCTTCTAGATTTTTGGGGTATGCTGCACAATTATATATAGTGGAGAAATGTGTTCAACTTTAGCACCCTATGGAAGTAATAAGTGTAAGAACAGGGTTATTGAAACTGCTTCCTCACTCTTCTCCCTCTCATTACCAGAAGCAAAGTTTACTTAAAAAAAACAATGAGGAAGAAGTACTGAGGCCTAGAGGCACCTAGGAAAGGAGGGAATTTAGAGAATGATAGAATATGGCTAGAGAAATATTTAAGTCATACTGGAAATTTACGGAATCTAACTAAACCCCTTTACCCTTCTCCCTGGCTTCAGATTTAGATGTGAGGTTGTCAGGGATGTGCACGAGCCTTCATAAACTGGTATTTTCTTCTGTGTGTTTGCTTTCTTCCCGTGAAACAAAAAATATAGAAATACAAGTGCTTGGTACCACATGCTTTTGAGACTTAAAAAAACCCATTAATAAACAAGCTGTTTCCATCGTTGGGGTCATCGGGATTCACTTTTTAAATAAATTTCCCCAGAATCTCCTCGAAGGGAGACTGAAGTCACTCTCCCTCCCCAGGAGCCACGAGGGAAAAGGGAGACAGAAGATATTGCCCCCTACTTGCACGTGGGTTCTCCCTTTCTCCTCTGACCCCCCTCCGCCTCTACCACGCAGGTCTGGGCGCCTCGGGAGGTAGCTGGGAGAAAAGGCAACGCTCAGTCCTCCATGGCAAAGTCTTTGGTCTTTTCCTCCTGGTCGCCTACTTTGTAGCGCAGTAGCACGCGCAGGAGACGGTGGTTATCCCGGGAGGGCAGCAGCGTGATCTCTCCGGAAATGTCCGTATCTTGTTCCACTTGCACAGGCTCGTTCAGGTAGAGGAGTGCCTGCTTCCAGTGCGTGACGGGGTGAAAAGGCGAGGTGGACAGCACCAGGGGTTTCTCCGAGTCCCCTCCCGGGAAGGTCACCTGGAACCAGATGGCAAAGCCGTGCATGGGCGCTGAGCCGTAGCAACTGAAGCGGAAGCGCCCGCCCACCCCAGCCTCCAGCTCCTGCTCCAGGCCGGTGCGGGCCAGCTCCAGCTGAGCAAAGCACTGCGGCCGGGCCAGTACGTCCTCCCCGGACAAACCCTGCACCACGATCTCCGAGTGGCCCATAAGGCAGCGCGTGGCGAAGCTCTCCAGACAGCTCATGTCCACCCCGTAGAGCTGCTTCACCTGGCTCCAGAAGCCCAGGCGCAACTCCAGCATCTGGTCGCTGATGGGCGCCACGAAGAGCTCGGCGGAAGCCGGCAGGAGAAGACCGCCCTCCTTCAGCCACTTGGTCCGCGCGTAGAGCACAGAGCTCAGCATAGACTCGTGCAGGAGTCCGTAGCCCATCCACTCGCTCACGATGGCATCCACCTGCTCCGGCAACTCCACCGTCTCCACCGGCCCCGGCAGGACGTGCACCCGATCCTCCAGCCCGTTGAGCCGCACCACCTCCCGGGCCTGTTGCCAGATGGCGCTGGCCTCCACCGCGTACACGCGCCGGGCCCCGGCCTGCACACAGAAGATGCTAAGAATGCCGGTGCCCGCGCCCACGTCCAGCACAGTCTTGCCCCGCAGTCCTGCCCAGTTCCGCAGGATGCCCAGGCGGTAGGCATCGGTCCGGACACGGTCCGCAATCATCTCCTCGTGGACCGATATGTCTGAGTAGCACTCGTAGTACAGCTGGTCCCGCTCCCGCCTAGCCCTCCGGGGTCGCGGCAGGGCCGCCTCCTGCTCTCCGCCATCTTCCTCTTCAGTTCCCTCCCCTCCTTCGCCGCCGCCCCCCGACTCAAGCTTTCTTTTCTTGGGCTGCGACATCTTGGCGGCTCCGACCGACTCCCGGCGGGCGTTGCGCGGCTCCGCGCGGGCTCCGGGAAGCGGGGGCTTCTGGGACTTGTAGTGTCCGCTCGCGCCTCCCACTTCCTGGGGGGTCGTCGGGCGGTTCCCTGCCGGAAGCTTCAGAGCTCGGCCCAGCTCTTTTCTTTGCTCTCTGAGGTGCTGGGATCCCTCTCCCACCCGCCACACCCAAATACTGTGGCCCTGTACATTCCTCCTCTTTCCCTTAGCTCCTCAATTCCCTGTTGCTTTCACTCCCTTCCTGAAGTCCACTCGACCGCAAGACCAAAAATCCATGCTTGTCTTGTCTCCTCAACTCCTTAATGTTATTACACCAAATTAATCTGGGCGACGCCGTTCACACACTGCCACCTCACCTGGACCGTTAGCTCTCCAGATGGAGATTTAGAAATTGCATTGCACGTTTTTCTTTTCTGTTTCCGTGGAGTTAGGGTGCAAAGAAGGTGTAAATACAACAAAGAAAACCCCTGACGGTGTAAAACTTTTGTTCTGATTCCAATGAGACCACAAGTTAACTGAAAGATTGGGACAAATTATGTGACTGCTCTTGCCTTCAATTACCCACGCACACACCAGCAACGAGGAATCTTCATTGCAGTCAAATTATGTTTCTGGTCTCTATTTCAGGAGAATACTTGGCTCTTAGTCCTGCTATGGTAATTCAGTGGCTCTTTCAAGAGGTAAATCTTGGAAGGGTCCAGACTAAATAACAGTTGAAAAGCAAGGGTGATGTGATACAGTGCAACTCATTGCCAGTTGTATTCTGGTAACCAATTATGATTTTTAACTTGAGAAGTCACTGAATCCTTCCTCCCTTGTGATTATTTTTGCACAGCAACTCTTTTTTTCCTTTGTGATTGTTTGTCTGGGCCAGATTGGAACTCTTCCTCTTCTGTTTTTCTTTCAGTCAACTGTCAGGTGTTAATTTCTTCCCTCTGTGTTGTTCATTATAGAAATAAAATATACTTTGAAATATGTGTGATGTCTATATGAGTGTCTGTGTTTCTAACACTGTGAGAATAAAATTTTCTCCCAGCCTCAAAAAAATCACATTGAGGAAAATTGATTTTTATTTTCTTGTAGTCTTGAACTCTGTTTAGCCAGTGGGCCTGTATTTCCTATCTGGGGGAAAAAGTTCCTTCACCCCATTTTCTCTATTAATCCTTCATTTAATGGAATAGGTTTATTGACCTGGCATCCTCCATGGTACTTCTAACTTAGGGCTCTCAATTCTTGCTCGTCAGTAGAGCAGCTTTTAAAAAATACCCATGCTTGTGTCTCACCTCAAACTAATTAAATCAGAACCACTTCATGGAGCCTGGGCATATAGTTTTAAAAAGCTCCGCCCGGGGAAGTTGTGTAGCTAGAACTACTGTTTCTCACTAAAATGATCTTAGTTAAATCTTGCTTCATTATTTTCATTGGGTAAATTATCTTTTTTTTCAGTGGCCTGGGCTCAACCATTTAAGGCTAAAAGTCCTCAAAGCACTTTCTCTCTCTTTCTGCCCAATTTGATACCTTAAGAAAATAGAAGCACAGAGCAAGCCGTGGGATTAGAGTTGTAAATGTGACCACTTTAATACATTACTTGTAGGCTGTTACTTAATTCATACTTCTCCCATTCTTTCCTTCCTCAAAATGTTTTCCTTCCCCTTTTAAATGCACTCACTCCTCCAACCAATTTTCAATTCACTTACTTATGGTCTGTTTTAAGAACATTCTGAATAGGGGCGGAGCAAGATGACGGAGGAGTGGGAGACCCGGATTTCATCTTGTCTCAGGAATTCAGCTGAATAGGGATCAAACCATTCTGAACACCTACGAACTCAACAGGAGACCGAAGAAGAGAGTAGCACCAACTCTCTGAACAGAGAAGCGACCACTT